AGCTTGCACGGCATCGCCTCACCCACTCTGCTGTGACCGGCATCTCGGGGTGGCGAGCAACCTGGCAGCTTTGGATGACCACCCATGAAACCCAGGACAGCCTGTACCACCCTTGGCTCGGATACTCTGGCACCCTGCCCCCGCCGTCACGCTTCCTCACCCTGCTCCCCTGGTTCTTTTGGTCAGTGCAGTCGCCTGCGGCTGGCTTGCTCTGCTGTGCGCCATTCGCGTCTGCTCTTGTTATTATCTAGCTCACCCTTCCAGGATTTTAAGCTCCACGAGGGTGGGCTGAGACCCCCGTCCACTTTATCACTGCGTCCCCAGTGCCTGGAGCAATGTTTCCAATACAGTACAACAGTGGAAATAAGAGCTTACAACACGCAATTTCATATAAAAATACCACCAAGCTCAAAACTTTTTCTCTGGTAGCCACCAGTTTACCCACCTGAGCCACATTCAGGGTCGTTGAAACTTTCTCCTGCTTGGCTTCCACTGTTCGGAAACTGAACGCACGTTCTAGAACGGACTGATCGATGCCAGTCAGCTCGCAGATTTCCTTTAACTCTGTTGGGGACAGGGAAACAGTCACAGAAGGAGGCTCTCCGTGCGCTGCTAATAATTACTACCAAGGCCAAAGTGGGCCCTAAATCACATTCAAGTACAACAGCCCGACACAATAAATCAGAAAGCTGAAGACTTGGCGGCCACTATTGTCTCAGCTCGGATTCACTAGAAAGTTTCTCCAAACCAACACAAAGCAGCACTTCGTTTCCTACAGGAAAACCAGGGCAGACGCTCAAGGCAATTTCCTACACAAAGCCGAGTCCGCACAGACTTACCGTTTTTATCTTTGATTTTGCTTTCGTCTAACCCATTCACACGTGATTCAGGCTTGAACTCAATGTTCCCCAGTTTCAGCACGGCCGCCACCACCTCCAAGACAGACTCGGCTTCGTGGTCCATGAAGCCCACAATCTGCATGGCATTCTGGGGAGAGAGAGGTAGCACCTGCTTGCTTTCTGAGGCTCTTTATCTTTGTAAAAAAGATCAATCAGATTTATTTCTGGGGAATGAAAAATCGTAAGCTAAGGCTACTGTCTTCCTTGGTGTGACTCTAGACCAGAGCATCTTGCATGCTGGGCGGAGGGCTTAGAGGAGGCTGGAGGAGCAGCCAGGTCCACGCTGGGATAGCCGTGCTTGGCTACTGGAACAAAACCAATCAATATGCTTGGATGTTGCCTAACGAATCTCCTCCCTTATTTTACATACAAGAACACTCTGGATCGCAAAGTGAGTGTCTCCTCCAAGGCGCAGCGGGAACAGGGGCACTGGCTCAACCTTAAGCTTGCAAGTACTGACACTATGTGCCAGGCACAGTGGTTACAGCACTGGCCTTGGACCCAACTCTCTAACTGCAACCACATCCAGGAGTCAACTGACTCGTGCTTCCATACGAACATGGTTACACAGTTCTCAAAAGACAGGCTCTGTGAGATGCTCTGCCCAAGAACAGCTGGCATTATTTGTGTGCGTGCTCATGTGTGAGAAAGAGACTACACAGCAGTGGAAATAACACACTTCTTTGTTTGTTATGGAAAGTTTCAAACATACACAAAAGGCGAAAGAGCAAGGGAAAGCCGCCGCCCATCCTTTCCTTCCCCAGCGCTGGGATTATAGTTGTGTACCCGGTCTTGGTAGCCAGCTCAGCGCGCTGAGGGTTAGGCCAGTGCAGCATGTGGTGCTGGGGTTCGAACCCTGGGCCCTGTGCTTGCTTAAGCAAGCATGCACTTAGTCTGCTGATCTATCTCACTGGCCCACACATGGCAATCTTGTGCTACTCACAGGGGACCTCAGTGCCCTCCCAGCCCCCTCTCGCTCCCACCCCCACCCCAACCCATAAGCCCCAGCAGTCCACGATGAGAATGCTAGTTAGCACATCCTGTCATCATAGACTAACTTTGAAAGTAGGTACCGCACAAAGACAGAAAATGGAGTTGGACAGAAAGCCGTTTCTTCTCTAATGAAAGCGGAATGCTGAGTATTTGGGTTTGCACCTCAGTTTTCTAAACGGTATAAAAACAAGATTTTCTGCCTCAAAAACAGTTGAGATTTAACACGATCCAAGGGCAGTTTTCACACTTAGAAATTAATTTTAGCTGCAAAGCTTTGACTACAAAACATTTGGAATTTACATACAACATTAAGAGTTAAACCTCAGGATAATACACGGAAGCTCCTTTTGATCAACAGTCAAGTCCCGAGTGCTCACAGAGCAGCACCTCTGCAACCTTGCACAGTTTCAAGCTAGTGAAAAGCCAAGCTAATAAAAACGTAATGAGCTCTTGTGCAAGTCTAATACCTCAGGGAGCATCAGCTATGCTTTAAAGAAAGAGCACAACTGGGACCAGTTCTGAGTGAGCAAGAGAGTGTTGCTCATTTTAAAGCATGAGGGAAGGATCTCACTTACCCTAACAGTCCTGAAATTGGCCGCATCATCCACCCCGTTAACTTTGGCTGAATCCAGACTCAGGTAGTTGTACCTGCTGAAATCCCGCTCCAGCTTAAGTTTGTCTGTGGAGTCACATACGCAAATTGGCTAAGTTTCTCTGCACACGCAATCACCTTCAATATGTCATTTTCAACCCCTCTGGTAAGATGACTGACTGTCTTATTATGTACTGAATCAACAGAACAAAAACTGGTGGGTAAACAATGATCATAGCATTTTCCTAAAATCACCTTTATTACTACTGTATGGTTTTCACACCCTGGCTTTCACATATGTGCTTACTGAGTAAGCCCCTTTCCACATTTTTAGGGTGCAAAATATGTTCTGTGTACTATTCCATTAAAGCCAAGGATTTCTTCTTAGAGGGTTTCTCTCAGCATCGCCTACCTGGGCTCACTCCTGCTTCTAGAGCTACACAGAGGGCAATGATAAGTGTTCTTCACACAAACTGTTTTTGATCCATTTCAATTATTCTGGTGGGATATACTGCAAAGAGTGGCACGAATGGGTGGCAGGCTCTGATCACTGTGTGACTCTCACTTGAGGCTTCTAGAGTCCCTGCGATGAGGTCATCACGTGGAAATCCTACATACATCACGACAACCACCAGCTTTATCCTTCTCAACACCTTTCCCCTGCATGGGTACAGCGGATGCATCGGTGCATCAGTTATTAGGACAACTTTCCTCCTTGAGTGTGGTTGACTTTTCATAACTCTTCAGGCTTGGACTATTCAGTATTTCTCATCACTTAGCTGTTTGCTCTTGGAGTTTATTCTTGTGACTAATTCCTTAAAGTATCCAAGTGTCAGGACTGTATCAGCTGACACAATGTGGTTATTACTTTTAAATCCTCACTGAGCAACTTCATTTTATATATCAAAATTTATAAAGCTTTATATACATTATTACTGCTCTTTATTAACATTGAACTATTCTTCCATTTTATTTTTTAAATGTGTGACTAAGCC